CGGCCGGACGTTCTACTGGACGGATTCTTGAGCACCCAATGTGTTCACCTCCTCATCAAGCGCTAATGACGCAGATCGCTACGCCACACTCGCGTTAGGTGTGAGGGCCTGCACAGGGTCCGATCATCATATGATCATAGGGGAACTGCGTGTAAAATTAGCTGTGTCGCATCGACGTCGTCTCGCCAAAACACATCAGCTTTAAGAAGCTTAAAATAAGAAGAAGTGGCCTGTTGAAAGAAGATGGTTTCGTGTTATGATGGGAGCTATTGCCTCACTTAGACCTGGTTAGAAAGTGGAACGTCGATGAGGAATGTAAAGACTTCAAATAATGCTTCATATCCTCGGCAAAAAGCGTAGTTGGAGTCAAGAGAAAGATATCCAAACCGCCCTCGGTTTCGGAGAAGACACTGGCCCTTAGCGGACAAACGACTAACTCAAAAAATGTTCTTTCAATGCCCTCCTGCAACTTTGAAGACAGCCTTTCGCTGTCTCGTTGAGGCAATAAATCAGAGCTACAGGTGGAGAGGGAGCTTTGCCTGGAGAGGGACATCAAGAGGATCGATATGACGGACAGAAATTATTTGAGAACAACAGTTGTCCGATAAGCAGCAGAGTCGGTCTGTTGTTGTCTAAGATGCTACTGGCGTCACAGTGGTACGTAAGAATAAACCTTAAAACACGGGTTTAGCATTTCTAACAGCTGATTGACGGTTGCCATCAAGATTCGTCATTTCCAGCAGTTAATTCTCTGCCAACACTAGAAGTTAGTACAGATCCACCCACAAAACAAGAAATTCATCTAAAAGGTCTTCCTACAACTTAAGTTAAGAAAGCTGAGGGTGGATCGAATCCCTCAGCTGTAAATTAAGTACGGAGGCGGGAATGGTAGAAAAGCCCATGCCCAGTTTCTCACAAACGTACAGATTTCTGGGCATGCAGAAATTTCCCATGAGAACGTAAGTGCGGAATAACATTTCATATAATTCAAGGGCGACCACCGATGGAGTGTTCTAATCATGGTGGCATCACACCACTGCCAACTGTCATGAAACTCTTCTCTTGGCTCTTGGCTGCTGCAAAGGATGAGGTAGCAACTGACGGGAGACTTCGCCAAGATCAAGCAGGCATCTGAATGTGGTAATCCTGATTTAGACGAAATATTCACTCTCCATAGGATCAGTGAGGAACATCGGCGATTCCAGTGGCTTTGGTTAGCCAGTTTCTTCGACCTAATGCATTTCATCCACAAAAACGTCAGACGATCTCAAAAAGCTTCAAATCCATGGGATACCTGAGCACGCCGTTTCCATTTTGGAGGAGATATACGCAAGAACGATGTCTGCTGTCAAAACTGAAAGACAGCCGTCTAAGTGGGTCCCTACGATCAATGGAGTACACCAGGGTGATGCGGTTTCTCCCATACTGTTCAACACTGTTTTCGATTTTCTTCTTCGAAACGGTGTTGACACTGGCAAGGATGAAGGTCTCACTTTAGAGGGAACGCGCAGTTCAAGATATCCGGCTTGATATTTTGCTGACCTGGAGTAAACAGATGGGACTGACCGGAAGAATAGTAACTGAATTAGGTCCTGTCACTTAGCGGCTTCCGTATTCAGGTTTTAAAGAACTCATACGATAAAGGTGACCTCCCAGCGGAACAGAAGGGAAAAGCGTTTCAATGGTTTGACCAATTTAATTATCGCCGTTAATTCGTCAACACGATGGCACCATCCAGGCAGAGTTAAATAGGATGATCGTATCGCCCTAGTCTCCGATGCTTCTGGAAGCCTGTCCAATATTCGGCCTGAGAAAGGAATTACTGTATGGCATGGAGACAGCGGTTCTGGCCTTTCGCTGCACTGACGGAGGAAACACCATTTATTTCAACTGGCGCGCTTCTCGTTCGGTAGCCAAAATACGGCAGACGTCGTTGTGGAGGTAAACATGCAATATGGAGGAACAAAATGGACTCAGATCTGCTTTGGGCGAGGAATATTTCCTTGAACGATGCAACAACCGGCGCCTAATGGCAGAAGTGTTGAAAAGCAAATAAAACGGACGTCAAAAACCAGCAAACCGCTGAAGGCGATGATCTCAATAAACTTGCATCAAGAACTGAAATTTCTGAAAAGAAACGACAAGACCAAATTTGTATATGCCCATTGATACTGCTCTGAATGGATGAAGTTAATATCAACAGGTAATGATTATATAACATTTTAAGACATTCAATCATGCATAAGCAAAACGTCTTAAGATCATGCGCAGACTATATATGAACCATCGTGTGGGCACATTTTATGGCATAAAATGGCAAATTATGTAATGCATTTTTAAGGGTACTACAGGCTTCTTTTTTTCAGGAAACGGTCAATAACATGATGACCATCGATCATCTGGGGCATGAGAACAGACGTGGTCATATCAGAGCTTCATCGTACGTCGTTTAGTTCGAAGTCGTCCTTGGCGGTGGTTGCAGTACCAGTACCTGCACTACTCGACAGATTACCTAATTATCATAATTACCGCAAAATATATAGAAATAATATTTAAAAAATCTAAATGTCATGAGACAAGCTACCTTATGAAACGGAGCTACCCTATGATGGACTAATTTGGTTTCACCGCCCACCTGAACTTTGCAATTTGGCAGGCAAAAGCTGGCGTTGGCCTCTAGCGGAAGGCCGTGATAGCGCAGCTCATGCACAAAAAATCAACGAACCAGGGCTTAGTGTTGTAAGCTGTTACAACCTGACACGCTGTGCCTCGTGACACAACGAATTGCCTATACCTTTTACTCAACTAATCAAAAATTCGTCAACTGACAAATGCTCGAAAATGTCGTCAGTTTCAAAATCGGTTGCAGATCGCATTTACAGAAGTGGTTTTCATTGACTCTGAGGTTACGTTTT